AAAGTCAGATCCAAAAATCTCATCAAATTACATGTTACATGCATCAATCTCTCTCCATGAATCTTTAGAAAGAGACCTATTATATAAAGGCTAAGCGAATCTCTTCTTGTCATTCACAATAATAATAATAATAATAATAATAATAATAATAATAATAATAATAACAACAACAACTACAACAACAACAAAAAATAAAATAAAATAAAAGGCTGATCGCCATGATAAAACATATTCACATATATTCTGGGATCAAGATTAGAGTCAAGCAGGAAGATAGAGCTCGAATTCGAAGCTGGGTAAGTACTATTATACTCGACATTTCCCAATTGTTTTAAAAGATTAGTGTCCAGTGATATATATTTGAAATACAACATTTATGTAAAGCGAAAGCAACTTGGGAAAAAGATATTGACGATTCACAGGGGGAAAGTTCGCTTTTAATGCAAGATATGTGAAAGGTGTCTCCTTTTGTGATGATGTATATTTATACTTGTATCTCTAAATTTGTGGGCTCCCTCATATATATAAATGTTGGCACGTATTATGGTTTTTCACTTTCCGAACCTCAAAAATATGAAGTGGTGAATCCGGAAACATGATAATAGAGAACATAAACTTGCATATAAGGGCATGGTACGTATGCTCATGTTACAATATAATTCTCTTAACTTACTGAACGTATACTAATTATTCCATCATTTTTCATTAATATTAATCTATTTCGATAAAAACAAAATTAATGTTTCTGTCGTTAAATCAACGTTCATATACCACCAAAGAGGTAAGTGTTGGGCCCACTCTCATGTAGTTTGATAGATGATAAGTTGTAGGCTCAAGTCCAATAAAAAAGGCTTGAGCCTAGCTATTCTAAACCCAGCTCAACGTTTATTAGCTCTTCCTGGTGCAGCTGAGACGTACTTCATTCATTATTAAGCAAGTATCTATAAAGATGTGAAGGCTATTTTGGTCATCTCATGCTCAACTATTTGCAATATTCCCATATAATATATATATATATATATAATGCTATGCCTATATTCGAGATAAACATTTTCCCAATTAGTGTTCTAATATTTATGGAGCACATGCTAAACTTTTACTTTGTAAAGCAGCGTAGTAACCTACTTTATTTGATTTATTTAATTTGCAATACAGACTATTAATTCAGAAAACAAAATATATGTGTATGTACAATATGAGTATACGAGAGAATTTAAATTTTAGACTGAAGTTGCTTCCAAACAAATCATTAATGAAAGATTGGTGGAAAAAGGTAACAAATACGCCAAAAATGTATTGGTCCATGCAGGACCCCGAACTTTGGATATCCTCATTATTCGCTGATATTAATAATTGTTTGAGAGGCCTTAAAGAATATAATCTACGCACGCACTTGTATGGGAGAAGTAAATTGCTTTTTGAAGTTAGTGGGAGATGCCTAGCTAAGTACGTAGCTAGAGCTAGATGCCAGATAGAGAGAGAGATTGAAAGAAACATTATGCAAAACAAAGCACTAAATTTTGCAAAAGGAAAGGCCAGCAACGTCAGTCTCGCCTTTATCGAGAGAGAGAGAGAGATGGGCTTTAACCCCCTTTTGTGGCTAACGTTTTGATTGTCTCCCACTAACTTGTGTTGGGTCGGCCATTCCCGAGACAATGCTTTGTGGGTGTGTCACGTCTGTATTAGGGCTTCCCTGCAATAGCTCCCCCTTTCTCTATCGGGGGCCTTTTTTTTTTTTTTTTTTTTTTTTTTTTTTTTTTTCATAGTGATACACTACATATTAGAACCAGTACAATGTTAGTGCATCTTTACTGGCATTTTACATTTTTCATTTTTCAACGTTAATTGGAATTTTATTGTATCGAAATGGAACATATTAACATGTTAATATGATAAGAGATTTGCGTAGTTTCTTATCACATAATCCTTTATATATTTTTCATAGTATGTGTGCATGTGCGAACGATAAAAGACATAATTACTCCAAAAGATAAACGAATTGTTTTTTTTTTTTTTTTTTTTGCTGCTGGAAAAATAAACGAGCTGTTTGTGTCTGCTTGTTTTATTCCTAGTTTGTAAGGATTCGATATATAAATCTATACACATGTAGCATATATGTTCTCAAAACAAAGAGAAAGTCTGGTCCGGTGATGTACATGGGTGAATGCAGTCTTTTCATTAATTATTTAAATATTTTCTTATGCTAATGTTTAGATTTTATTGTACATTTCCCTAACCCTTCACCTAACTCTTGGATTCTCGAGCTATCTAATCTAATCTCAAGATATCATATCAATGCAGTATATTGCACGTGAAAAGTGTATTGTATTGATTATTAGAATCCAGAATCGTTTGTCTTCTTGTTCGTTGTTGGACTCTTGTGAATCAATTTATGGATGCATCCATTGTATATCAACTACAGTGCCATATTCGATTAATATACCTTTCAAATGTAAGATTCCATTTAAAATCATACCCACAAAGACAATTATAAAAGTCGAATGCATTTTATTTATTTCAAACAAAATTTATTTAACCATTAGGAGATCAAGATATTTTGTTTGGCTTGCTATTATTTGCATAATCATAATTAGTGTACATCTCCCTGTCGGACTCTAAATCTAAGTAAATATCTACATGTACATTTTTAAACTAAATATACATTAAATTTCTTTATTCAATTATGAAACACACAAGTGAAGTCAAAAGAGGGTACTAATCTCTGCTTTGTCAATATTTTCGTATACTTTTATAAGTGCTTTGTGTTCTAATCATAGAGAATATAGTGCGACTGACCAACTTTACATTCCTAAAAAAATGAGAATATTAATTAGATGGCTGTTGGTGTGCCAAAGGAAATTAAGGGATTATGTCAAACTAATTTACAGAAAATAATATTTGTAAACAATTATATGAACTAGTTAGACAGTGAGCCTTTAAGTGATTCATTTTCTTAAAAAGTACATTAATTCTTTGACGTGTATGTGGTTTGACTCTAGTCAATTGATTGCTCACATCGACTTAGTCATTGCAAGTTCTTTAAAGGTAGGTTTGTTTTACTGTATTAGAGCATTGTATTATATAATACAATAGTATTATGTTTGGTGTGACTATAGTATTGTGTACGTTAATACGGATGAAAATTAATACAGTCTATGTTGTATTATTGAATACGGCTCATTTTTGGCGTATTGAATTATATTATTTTACAACAGATCCATGATTTATGGTGGGGTTAGGCACAATTGGGAGTCAGAGTCAAGCCAACATAGAGTCATGTCAAAGCGTTTAAAAATATAAGACACAATGCAAATTTACATTTTTAAAAAATTAAATTTTAACCCCTCAATTTTTATAAAATTACATTTTACCCTAAAATTTTTATAAAATTATATTTTGATCCCAAAACTTTTTAAAATTTATATTTCAAAATTTTTTTAAAAATTACATTTTGACCCCAAAATGTATGTCATTTGTGAATTACTAATGGCCTAGTAGTCTAACTTGTAGAATTGAATTGGCAATTAGAACTTCTTTCGACTTGCGTAGACGGTGATCATTTGTATTAGGGGTTAATGTCCAATTCGTAGAGTGTTAGATTTTGATCTGTTTTGTCTAAGGTTGATCTAGTGGATGAGCGATAAAATAAAGTCTAAGAAATAAAAAATGACACCAAAATTTAAAGTGGTTCACCATAATGAGAGGGTTATGTCTACTGTAGTATTTGCTTTTCTACTATGTGTGGAGAAAAAATAGTATAAAAACTTGACAAAACTTAAGAGACAATAATGGAGAATAAAGAGAGAGTAGGGTGGCTCTCGGGAGTGTTCCAAAGGTAAGTTAGAATGATCTCTACACTGAAGGAAGGCTTCCTTTTATAGCTACAAATTTTGGTTACCTATTTGGGGTAGTTTCTCTTTTCTAAATAGAGTTGGCTTCCCCGAAATTATATATTGTCAAAATAAAGGCTTAGCTCTGTCCTGTAGGTGTTGTTTTTTGATGTATTTTTGTTTGCAGTTCGCAATAACGAAGGTGGTTTTCCCACCTTCTAATTTTATTTTTATATCCCACTCGTTTGAGTTATGTCTTGACGGTGTGTTAAAGGACTTTTGGTTTACAAATGACTTTCACACCATCGACCAGAGTTCTCCATCGATTGTAGAGGTATTTTCAAAGATCACATGTACTCGATCGTCGTGCCAGTTTCCTATTATGGGAGCTTTGTGCACGTTTTATCCCTTATTAGTTCTTACTATAAGTTGTGGAACCGGTCACTATTCATTGTTAAATTATAACTTATATTATATTAAGAGGTCATTTATTACAGTATTAGTGTTTGTATTTCCTTGTTTTAGAATACAATTATCCTTCAAAAGAAAGGCCATAATCCAATGCCCAATCCAAATGCACTTCTAACTTAAGAAGCCTAATACATTAGAATTCATAATACCGTTGTACGTGACTTAGAGAGAAAGGCATCAGCGACTATATCTATACTTATCTATTATCACTACAACAAAAAAGATCATTTGCGGCGACTCCGTGTCGTCGCAAATAACTGATATATCATCACAAATATTTTACTTTCAACGACATGTCGTTGCAAAAACTTTGACGCAAATAACATATTTGCGACGACAGGGTTATGAAATGTCGTCGTAAATATATTAGCAATGATCGTCACTCGTCACGAATGTTCCATCGAATATGTCTTTGATGATGACGTGTCATAACTTAGTTGCGACGACAGATCTAAAGTGTCGTCGCAAATAGTATTTTCTTTTGTTTTCATCCTCCCTAAATAATATTAATTTATAAAAATATAAATTTAAATAAAATTTAATAATAAAATAAAACACTATAATATATATAAAATAATCAACATAATAATAAAATATGTCTTAAAAAGTAAATTAGTAAAAAAATACTAAAAAGTATTGATAATAAGAAAAATAATAACAGACATTTTAATCTCCTAAATTAGCAGGATCGTCGTCCTCATCCTCGTCTTCTTCGTTTTGCTCAGGCGGCGGAGGAACAAATGGTTGGGGACGGGTAACTGGCAAGAAGTTGATGTTATGATTTATCGAGCGCATGACTTCCATCATGATCTGCTGGTGGTCGAACATGTTGCATTGGTTGATGTAGAGTTTGTTCAGCCAGTTTTGGACATGTTAGGGCAAATTAACCGAAGATGACCCGTCCGATTGCAAAGCAGATGATGAGGTGGAAGCACTTGAACGATTCCTTCGTGGTAGTATCGGTCCCACTCCCTTAGTGTGTCCTTTGCGCTTGCACAAGAATTGGGACATAATCCCCTCCTCATTGATCGGCATGGATGAACCTTCGCCAGCAGACTGTGTGATCTACGTGGTTCTTTCTCTATCCATCTAAGCCTACACAAGTAAATGAAATGAATAAAAATAGTATAATATGTTATGTTAAATATGAAAAAAGAAATAAGTTTAAAATTTACTTATAAATGCATGTTCCGCATCCGGATTGATAAAATTCTGCCCATGACGGTGCATGTCACCCCAATTGTCAATTAATGATCTTGGCTCCTGGGTTTCGAGATTTACCAAATTAAGTTGAACGTGTTAGAATAATTATTAAGCTAAAGTGACAAAAACTTAACAAGTATGCAAATTAATATTACCTTATCGAAACGGTGTTGGGAGTATGACTTTCTACCATGGAAGCTAGTCCACTTCTGACTGCCACGGTTTTGTTGATTTGTAGCATATTTTTTCTAACAATAATCCTAAATGAATCAGTAACATACTTTATAATTAAATAAACCAATTAATAAAAAGTAAGAAAATATAATGAAATTGAACCTGAAAAGTAGGGAACGTAAAATGATCACAACAAGGTCCCCATTGCTCTTTGCTCCTCAAGTTTTTAGGAGGATTTTGCCTGACAAAATCCTCATTTTCTGCCCCTCCCATCTTCTGAAAGTGTCTGTGCAAGGTAGTCTTCCAGACCTTGTAACATTTATTGGCTTCACGGTCGACTACATCTCTAATGATGCCGTTGTTGCGGTCGTAGTCGAGGTTAAACCAATCCTGAAATACATTAAAAAATCCTGAGTCTCGAGATTTACCTAATCAAGTTGAACGTGTTAGAATAATTATTAAGCTAAAGTGACAAAAACTTAACAAGTATGCAAATTAATATTACCTTATCGAAACGGTGTTGGGAGTATGACTTTCTACCATGGAAGCTAGTCCACTTCTGATTGCCACGGTTTTATTGATTTGTAGCATATTTTTTCTAGCAATAATCATAAATGAATTAGTAACATACTTCATAATTAAATAAACCAATTAATAAAAAGTAAAAAATATAATAAAATTGAACCTGAAAAGTAAGGGACGTAAAATGATCACAGTAAGGTCCCCATTGCTCTTTGCTCCTCAAGTTTTTAAGAGGATTTTGCCTGACAAAATCCTCATTTTCTGCCCCTCTCATCTCCTGAAAGTGTCTGTGCAAGGTAGTCTTCCAGTCATTGTAACATTTATTAGCTTCACGGTCGACTACATCTCTAATGATGCTGTTGTTGCGGTCGTAGTCGAGGTTAAACCAATCTTGAAATACATTAAAAAATCAAGAAATGAATCTTATTTATTGTATCCACAATTAAAAATGTTTAGAACAAGAAGCTTGTTTCAAATAGATACCAGCATGCGATTTTGAATCCTCCTTTTGTACTCTTCAAGCACGTCCTTCTAGGCGTTGTAATATGGGTCACATATCTCTTGTATGCAATCTGACAGCACTGTTAAAATATTTGGCTTTTTACCAATCGCCTTTCACGAACTTGTCTCGTCAAATGTAACAAGAAGCTTCCCATCTTTCTGTACTTTCTCTACTATATCCCGACCTATAGCGACCCTTCGGCCAGACCGACGTCGAGATGTTGGCTCCGGAACTATACGAAAATAAAATTACCGAAATTTGATTATAGAGAGTTCGATAAGTGACACATATTATGAGTACGTGTTATAGCGTATACTACTTGACTGACAATGTGTCGGGAGTCTCATCGGATCAGGTGGAGGCTGTGATCCTCCTGCAGAGCCGGCGCATGTAGCTACTAGGCCAGACATCGAAATGCTGTGTCATAAAAAAAATATTTCTTGTTACTATATTTGGTACACAATTTCTTAAAAACTTTATAATCATTTCACAAATTCGAGATAACTACTTTGGTTCTATTCGTCGTCACTACGAATGTCTACAACATCATCGACACTTTCTACGTCGTCATCATCTTCAGAATCGACGGGTTCATCTTCGACATAGTCAAACACAGTTTCATCATCACCATTGTCAATAAAGTCATCTTCATCTTCAACAGGCAACTTAGCCCGCAAGTATGTGTCGACGTCAGACGTGACAGTATTTACTTCGATATCAGGCCGATCAAATGTTAAGTTATCCAATTCAGGTAGTTCAACTACTAACTCAACATTTTGTGATTCTGTATCTTGAACTATCATGACCTCGTCGACGTCCTCTTTTGGAAAATCCCATATATGTCGATGCCCAAAATGTTCCACAACTTTCTAATTCGGACCGTTATATAAATCATCAACGTAAAAAACCTGTTCCGCCTGGGAAGCTAGAATGAATGGTTCATTCTCGTATCACGAGTTCTTAATGAAGACACTTATTTTATTCTTGTATTGTTGAATTCTTCTTCTTTTTGCCCGAGTGTTGAACCACTTACACTTAAAAAAGAAGACTGAACGAAGACACTTATTGTATTCTTAAAAAGGAATTCTTTTTCTTTCTGCCTGAGGTACTTTTTTAGCTTTTATTTTTTTACTCTTCCAACGACTAGTGTTACATACTGGATAAACCTGTAGATCAACATTCTCCTTCCAGAATAACGCACAATCATACTTACAAACATGTATTGTTTTGTAGCCCAAACCGAGTTTACTTAATTTCGTCTTCGCCTCGTAATACAAATCTGGAAGTTTAATTCCTTCAGGAAATGCATCTTTCAACAGCTTCAAAACAGAATTCATACACTCATTGGGTCATTTGTACAGCACCTTTAAATGCATGAGTGTCACCAAAAAAATCAATGAGGAATACTTAGTACAACCTGGATATAATACCGATTCGAGCTCAGATAACAACTGTTTAAATTCATCGTGCTGCGCATCACCTAACACTTCAGCTTCTACTTCCTCCGGCATATCATGATCAGAGTTATTTCCAACAACATCATTTATAACTGCAACCATCTCGTCAACTGACTCATTTATTGAATTGGTAGCAACATCGTATTCGCCATGGTAATATCATGTCATATATAAATGATTAAAACCATATTGGTGTATGTGTGCTCTAACTGTTTCTACTAGAAAACACTTATGGTTTAAACACCTCCGACACAGACAACTTGTACAACCACTTTTATCAACATAATCTTTGGCAATATTGATAAACGCAGACAATCCCTCCCAATACTGATCAGACAACCGATTTTTCAAATGTATCCAACTCTTGCCAATTGACATCTTGACTATAAAAACAATAACACATCTAATCATACTTTATGTTTTCTCGTGACTATATAATCACGTTTATAAAGAAAGTTTAACATTTCATACTTTAATTTAAAAGTTTTATCAAATTTTATGAACAAATTATTTTTTTATTTTTGCACTCATAATGTTTATAATTAATTTTTAATTCTTTCTATTACTATAATTAATTATAATTAATTAAATTCTTAAAATTAATAGGATTTAATAAAATTTCAGCATTATAACGACATATTTTTCTTATTATCCAAAAATTCAAACCTGCAAAAAAACAGTTCTTAAAAGATTTCGATACACCATAGCTGCAAGATGTGCCACCCAGAATAATTATCAAAACTTTTAATTTCAACCTAAATCAAATTATAATCTTACAATTTTAACAATCTCAATATCAAATTTCAACAATCTCAAAATTCATAATCTAAAATTCAATCTATAATCCAAATTTCAAATTACATACTAATTCTAAAATCTATAAATAACAAAATATAATTTTATTTTTAACACATTTTAAACTAAAAAATACAATAATTATAGAAAAACTTACAAAATTCAAATCCACTGAAACGAGGGTTGAAAACGACAAGTTAAATAAGGGCAGGCGGCGACAGCGGCGAATTTTTGGGTTTTTTTGGTTGAAAAAACAAAGAAAAGTTAAAATATTGTTGATTAAGAAGATAATAGAAGAAGATTTTGAGAATTTGAGGTTAGAAACCCGGATAAACCGGCGAGAGACCGAGAGAGAGAGGGAGGAGAGAGGGAGGGAGAGAGAGAGAGAAGGCATTCGGAAAAAATAGAGGAAGAGGCCCTGCCAGTGGAGATACAACAGAATTATTTGCGACGACATTAAACTTATTTGCGACGACATTTTTTTACGACAACTAGTAGTCGCAAATATAACTTAAACATATTTGCGATGACATTACGTTATTTGCGACGACACATGTTCTGGTAGGAAGGTTCTGGAATTATTATTTTCGACGACATTATATGTGTCGTCACAAATAAGTTTTGGGGCCCGCCCAATTTCCCCGCCTATTATTTCACTTTCTGCGACGACATTATACCTGTCATCGCAAATAATGTTTAGGGTCCCGCCCAATTTTCCCGCCTATTATGTCGCCTAGGGAACACAAATCACTTATTGCGACGACATCAATATACAAGTTGTCGCAAATAACGCTATATTGCGCGCTAAAAGTTCACGCCAGACGAGATTTGGCGCCAACAAATATTTGCGACGACATGTGACTTTTAGCGACGACAATATTTTTTCAGTGTTACAAACATATTTGCCTGGTAAATAGTTGTGACGAAAAATGTTATCGCACATAATTTCATCGCAAATAGCCCAAATTGTAGTAGTGTATCTATTATCTATAATGTAAAAAAAAAAAAAAATGAATACATAGACAAGTGTTAATTGACTTGGCTTTCTTTTTTTTTTTTTTTTATTGGTGATTCTCTACTTTTTTTATTCAGCCAATCGTAGAGATCACACCCATGAAACGACGACCCTTTTCAGACATATTCTCCAAACATTAAGATGTCTAAATTTTTTTCACCAACTCTTTTTTTTTTTTTGTTTTTTTAGTTTTTTTCCTTGAGGGTTTTTTGTTTTGGGACCTTATATCACTACAAGTATTTGAATTTTTTGTTACCAAAAATTTAGTAACCAAAAGCCCTGTTTTTGGTAGCAAAATGTTTTTGTTACCAAAAAATTCTAGTAGCAGAAAGTATTAGTTACCAAAATTTTAGTTTTTGCTACAAAAAAATTTTTTAGTAACAAAATGTATTTGGTAGCAAAATGTATTATATTTGGGGACTAAAAATTTCGGTAGCAAAAGGTTTTTTGTAGCAAAAAGTGTGAGCTTTCTGTTACTAAAATTTTGGTAGCAAAATATATTTAGTAGCAAAAAGTGTGAGCTTACTAGTACCAAAATTTTAGTAGCAAAAGGTTTTTTGTAGCAAAAAGTGTAAGCTTTTTCTGCTACCAAAATTTTGGTAGCAAAATATATTTAGTAGTAAAAAATGTGAGATTTTTGCTACCACAAGTTGGGTAGCAAAATATATTTGGTAGCAAATATTGTGAGTTTTCTGCTACCAAAATTTTGGTGGCAAAAAATATGAGCTTCTTGGTCACCAAAACTGCGACAGATTTATATACCTGTATTTTTTGAAAAAATATATATAAATAAAATACTAAATATTAATTTAAAAATCTCTAAATATTTCACTACATATTAGAATCCAAACAAAATACTAAAATAGTCATACTTAAACAAACCCAAACATTTATGCAAATATTGTACTAGTAAAATCTTAATATTACAAAAATTAAACGCTCTAACAAATTGAGGCCAGTGGTGGCGGTGGCGGAGGATCTTCTATTCTTGGGATGGAAGGTCCAGGATGATTGAACGGCGGATTTATCTGTTGAAATAGCTTTTGAATAAGCTCTTGTTGTTGCTTCATTAGAATTTTCATATCTGACATATGACGTTTATTTTCCTGAATTTTATTTTCAAGCTTTTCATATCCTAACCCTCTAGATTTGCGACCTTGTGGCGCTTTTCTTAGTACAGGACCTATGTCATGCTTGAAACCATAATTTTCATACATCTCAGTTGACATCATGATATGTGTCTGGTTCATACATCTCCAAGGGGGCATGTTGTAAGCCACTAGTAAAATTTGCCATATACTATATGGATTTGCCATATCTCTAAACGGCGTGAAACCATCAGAAGCAAGACCTAATCTAACATTACGCGTTTCAACTGCAAAATCCAGATATTGTTTGTCAAATTCCTTCCACACTTCCGCATCAGCAGGGTGTCGAACGACTCCTTCCGTCTCAACACGTTGTTCCTTGTGCCACCTCATATATTCAGCGGTGTGGCACACATGGATGGTCTTGTATCCTAACCCAAGCTTTCACATCATCTGCTTCGCCTCATAATAAGACTCGGGAATTCTCGAGCCTTCTGGAAATGCCTCCCGAAGTAACTTTAACAACATATTAAAAGACTTGTTACTCTATTGATTCAATACTTTTATATGAAGTAACTTCACTAAAAAAGTCAATGCGGAGAACTTTGTGCATCCTTTTCACCATCGTGATAGATGAGCTGACAAGAGAAATCCAAGATAGAGTTCCTTGGTGTATGCTTTTTGCAGATGATATAGTTTTAGTTTATGAACATAGGGAATGAGTTGACCGTAAGTTAGAACTGTGGAGACAGACTCTCGAGACGAAGAGATTTAAGTTAAGTAGGATTAAAACTGAATACATGCATTGTAGGTTTAGTAACTCAAGTAATCAGAGTGATGAAATTTCTTTAGATGGTGTGAAAATTGGGGCTTCTAAGAAGTTTAGGTACCTTAGGTCTATAGTGCAGTACGAATGAGATATAGAAGAGGATATTCAACATAGGATTAAAGCATGGTGGGTTAAGTTAAAGAATGCTACAGGAGTTTTATGTG